AAAATTAAGAAAAAGAAAATTTCGTATAATCAAAGAAAGATTATTGAATTAGAGAAATTTATGTTACTACAGTAACATTACTACTATTGCTGAGTCTCATGAGACCTTTCATGAGCTCTTAGAGACAGCAACAGGAGCCTCTCATGATAAAGATCAAAATGTATTTAGTATCACTTATATTCTAATTATTTAATATATTAACACACTTACAAAATTAATAATATAGCAAATTCTTTGGAAGAAATTCATGGATTTTTTGAAAGCACAATTAGCAAAAGCTAGAAAAGAAAATTCTATAGCAGCAGCACTAGCTTTCCAAAGTCTGCATGAAAGAATAATAAGTTCTAAAGTCAAACTCAGATATTTGAAAAGAAATTTTGTAAATTAGCTCTTTTTTATTTTAATTATAGCAGAATAATTTATTTTTTAAAATATCAGATAATAATATTTATTTGTCTACAGGTCAGAAGGAATCTGCTCACAGAAAAAGCATTTTTAAAATCTGAAAAGGCTTCTATTCGGCTTTTAAGTCCTCTTTCTGGTTACCTTAAAAATGCTACTTCAAAAAAAAATTATGAATATATGAAAATGATAATGCTTTTACTTCTGATATCGAATAAGCCAGAGCTAAGGATCTGTTACCTAATGTGATTCGAAAGCATGAAGAGGCTAAAGTATGTAATGCAAATACAGGCTGTCTCATATGTGCAGTTTATCAAAATCGCATCAGCAAGGAGACTCTGAACTCCATGTTCGAGTCAGTTCTCTTAATGTTCCAAGAATGCTTTAAAGTAAAAAGGGAAGAGGTTGAAAAGCTAAAACAAGAAAACATGATGATTGCAGGATATTTGTGCATCCGACATTATAAAGTATTTACACATATTCAAAATATAGCAAAAATCTTGCTGAATATCCAAGAATTTGAAGACAGAGAAGTTCATATAGTGGCTAGTGTAAGTTTGTTATATAATTATATAATGCATTTATTTCTCAAAGAGCTAGTAGAGGATGTAGTGTTACAATTATGTTATAAAATTCGTTAATTTCATAATTCGTAATATTTCATGAAGTTATGAAAATCATGTAAAGAA